GGGGAAGGGGAGTAACTGAATATTCTCCAGTGCAGACGGTGTGATCATCCTTCGTGAATACTCTCTCTACCAATGATTATCCCAGTGAGGAGTGTGGAGATACCAAGTTGGCTTAACAATGCACTTCCGTTGAGGGAACACTAGGTGTGTTGAATAGCGCAAGAAATCACCTCATTCATTGAGTTCACCTTATTTCTTACACATCACCAACAAAATGTGTGTGTGTGGGGGGGGGGGGGCATGTTGAAAATGTAATACGTTTTTACAACTATCGTGTGATAATGAAAGCCGTCGCATGAATATTTGAGAACCTCTGCTTTTGTCCGCTCGTGTGCCCCTTGCATTCAGAATGATTAGTTCAGATTTGTTTTACACATCACAACTTTTGTCCCCTTAATAACGTCCGAGGTCCCCCGTAGCCATAAGGAGCAGAGCGACGGCCCTGCTAACAATAAATGTGATGTACGGTCTTGAAATGTTGGTTGACCGGCAGTGTCCAGTCTAGACACATCTAATTGTTGGTTGACCGGCAGTGTCCAGTCTAGACACATCTAATTGTTGGTTGACTGGCAGTGTCCTGTGTCCAGTCTAGACACATCTAAATTATCGGTTGACCGGCAGTGTCCAGTGTCCAGTCAAGACACATCTAAATGTTGGTTGACTGGCAGTGTCCAGTCTAGACGCATCGAAATGTTGGTTGACCGGCACACTCCAATCTAGACACATCTCATTGTTGGTTGACCGCAGTGTCCAGTCTAGACACAACTAATTGTTGGTTGACTGGCAGTGTCCAGTCTAGACACATCTAAATGTTGGTTGACTGGCAGTGTCCAGTCTAGACACATCTAACTGTTGGTTGCCTGGCAGTGTCCAGTCTAGACACATCTAAATGTTGGTTGGCTGGCAGTGTCCAGTCTAGACACATCTAAATGTTGGTTGACTGGCAGTGTCCAGTCTAGACACATCTAATTGTTGGTTGACCGGCAGTGTCCTGTGTCCAGTGTAGACACATCTAAATGTTGGTTGACCGGCAGTGTCCAGTGTCCAGTGTAGACACATCTAAATGTTTGTTGACTGGCAGTGTCCAGTCTAGACACATCTAATTGTTGGTTGACTGGCAGTGTCCAGTCTAGACATATCTAATTGTTGGTTGACTGGCAGTGTCCAGTCTAGACACATCTAAATGTTGGTTGACTGGCAGTGTCCAGTCTAGACACATCTAATTGTTGGTTGACTGGCAGTGTCCAGTCTAGACACATCTAAATGATGGTTTGAGTGGCAGTGTCCAGTCTAGACACATCTAATTCTTGGTTGACCGCAGTGTCCAGTCTAGACACATCTAAATGTTGGTTGACTGGCAGTGTCCAGTCTAGACACATCTAAATGTTGGTTGACCGGCAATGTCCAGTGTAGACACATCTAAATGTTGGTTGACCGGCAGTTTCCAGTCTAGACACATCTCATTGTTGGTTGACCGCAGTGTCCATTCTAGGACATCTATATATTTACAAACAGCCAGTCCTACTAATCAAATACAGTCCAAAACCCATCCGCCTGGTCACGTGGTATGACTATCAACAGTGGTAAATCTTTAGTCAGTTTTTGTCACATGTCACCTGGATGAAGTGACAAGCCGCACATCTATCATCCTTGCTCTTCATGACACCAAGATGCCATAATCCTTGACAGGATCGGCTTTTTTCTTCTCTCCATCTTTTCATCCGTCCGCTAGAAGCGGTAACAGAAATCAATGGCGGACATGACACGGGGAAAACCCTCTCCTAGTAGGACATGGAACAGTCTATTTTTAGCTCTTCACCCCCCCCCCCCCTCCCTTTAATCTTCACATGAATAGTTTTTGTGTTGTTTTTAAATCAATGGCGGACATGACACGGGGAAAACCCTCTCCTAGTAGGACATGGAACAGTCTATTTTTAGCTCTTCACCCCCCCCCCTCCCTTTAATCTTCACATGAATAGTTTTTGTGTTGTTTTTTGTTTGGTTTTTTAAATCTCAAGACAATAGCGCACACAACCGCAGGTGTCACTAGGGGACGGGCCAACCGCTAGGGCTTGCTTTTTTCATAACGGCTTCACATCTGCCGGATGCGGCACCTGCACGGACATGCCGTGGAGATGAGGGTCGTGCGGGGACATGGCCTCACGAGACATGCCACCTTCGCCGCTGGCGTTCTCTGACTCACTTCCGCTTCCGTCGCCACCGCCCCCCTCACTGTGGGTCTTGACGTGCTTGCTGAGGTGGTCGCTGCGCATGAAGCGCTTGTTGCACACGGGGCACGCGAATCGCTTCTCGCCGCTGTGCGTGCGCAGGTGCCTCTGCAGCTCGTCCGATCGCGTGAATCTCTTCCCGCAGAAGAGCCAGTTGCAGACGAAAGGTCTCTCCCCCGTGTGCCACCGGAGGTGCGCCTTAAGGTGGGACGTTTTGTTGTAGACCTTGCCGCACCCCGGAATGTGGCAGCTGTGGATGTTCCTCTTGCGAAGGTGCTCTCCGGCCGGACCAAGCCGGTCTGCTTCCTGGCAGTTGGGGCAATCGCAATTGGAGCGCCCTGTGTAGCGGCGTTGCGTTCTGGTGCTGGGCAGTCCGGAAATTCCCGATCTAGTCGCGGCGAGAAACGGTGACATGGATGCAGCTCCGCCGAGGTCGGATTGTGACGTCAGCATGGATTTGTATGTGCTGTAGGTGTCTTGGAGGAGGTGCTGACCAGAGGACAGCAGCGCGTTGGTGGCATTGGAACCTAGGGCGTGGCTTAGGGAAAAATCTGACGAGGGGTAGTTTGGGGAGATCTGCGACCTGAGGGCGGCCGCACCAGCAGCGGCGGAGCTTGAGGCGGCGTCTGAGAGCCAGGAGCCCGCCCCTGGGTGGACATCCCACCACGTGCTGGCCCCGTTGACCGTGGGTGGAGAGGACACCTCTGTCTTTATGGTCGGGTGACCCGTGGCGTGTGGGTTGAAATGCCAAGGGTCGTATGTGAGAGGGTGCATACGGGTGTACATACTCCCCAGGGCCGAGTCGTGGACCTGTTGGGGGGTTTGAAAAATAGAACAGAACCACACATTAGTGGTTAGAAATAGAAGGAAATGTCAGGAACTATGATGAAATGATAACTGGAAAGACATTTATTTTTCTATTACTAATAATTAATTACTATTTTAAATTATGATTATGTTTAAAGATTATTCTTATTAAGTATATCATCTTAGATCTAAAAACAGTCAGCATATATTATAAATGACATTCAGTTATAAGTTTAAATATGAGAAGAAGTAGTAACCACAGTATCAAATAATTAATTATATATGCACATATGGGAAGGTGTAGTAACTGTAGTAACACATTATTATATATTTGTACATATTGGATGGTGGAGTAACTGTAGTAACATATAATTATATATATGATAATATTTACACGTCCTCTCATAAAGACATTAATAAAATAAAACCCATAAGGCACTTTTGTCAAAGTACTCAGTACTCAGTACTCAGTACTCAACGGTTTTGAAAACTCCTGTTTTTCAGAGTAAGGAGGGGGGTTTACGAAATGAATCCATGCCAGGGTCCTTATTTCCTGGGGGCGTGGGGGGGGGTGTTATGAAAGGAATTCGCGCCAGGGAACCCATTTCTTGAAGCCGACTTTGAATGACAGTGCAAATAAAGGGTTGTTGTACCTTGTGTTGAACCGGAGATTGTGAGCCATCATTCCCATAGGATCCGCCTCCACCGGGCGATGACGTCGAGAATAAATCATTAGCATAAATGGACCCGCCCCCCGATGACGCCATGGACGTGACGGAGCGCCCGTACCCCAGGTAGGAGTTTGCTTGTGACGACGTCAGGTTCGTCTTCTGGTTGTTGGATCCGCCACTGACGGCACAAGGGCTCGGGCTCGAAGGCTCCGCCTTTCTCCAAGGGTGGAAGCCACCTTTCAAGGTCGGCGAATCGCTAAATGGGGGCGGAGACTTGCTGGTTATCTTGTTGCACTGGGCGGCTAGCATAGCAAGGGGCGTGCCTGGTCCTAGAGGGTGGGCTTCCTGGAAAGAAACACAATAACAGTACAAATAACGTACAAGTCACGCTACTACCCATGAACACAAGTACACATCGCTGGAAAGTTATCAAAAAGTGTTTAAAAACGTATTTAAAAAGACTTTCTGTGCACAGACTTTCTTTGTGTAATGCATTGTATAGAAATTTTGAGTGCACTTAAACTAGTCTTTGATAGAAAGACATTTCTAAACAGTTTAAAAAAAAAAAAAGAAAATATATTTAATTCCTAATTTTTAATGTTAGAAAAAAGCATATTATTTACTTTTATTTTTTAAAAAAATGCATTGTATAGAAATTTTGAGTGCACTTAAACTAGTCTTTGATAGAAAGACATTTCTAAACAGTTTAAAAAAAAAAAAGAAAATATATTTAATTCCTAATTTTTAGTGTTAGAAAAAGGCCTATTATTTACTTTTATGTTTTAAAACCTAAAGCTAACTGAGCGATAGAGTCAGGTGTGTCAACAACAAAATGACGCCAAACAAGATGGAAGGAGAGAAGAAGGAAAACTGTCTGGCCAACTTAAGGATATCTTTTTAAATTTGTAAAATCTTTTGTACTGTCAAAGAATTCAAGTCTAGCCCACCTTGTTCTTATAGTTCTTTGACACAACTTGAATGCAGTCCATCAATTATTAGCTTAGCTCACGAGACATTTTTATACACAATGACGTTTTTTTGTTTGTTTGTTTGTTTCGATCCGGTTTTCTTCTAATTTTAAAAATTATTTATTCTTGGTTGTCTTTATATTAACTTTATTTTTTTTTTGTTTTGCTGAAATTTCACAATGGCAGTAAGTGATTGATTTCATAATGACAGTCAGTTATTGATTTTATAATGGCAGTTATTATAGATATTGATCTCCTGAGATACATTAATAATTAGTATTAGTGTTCAAACATCATATCCCATTTGCCCACACACAAAATGACATGTGTACAAGCGTACATACGTACACCTCAAATCTATTCTTGACTAAATTTCCATTGAATACAATCATTATTGGTATTCTTTAAATAGGTGGTGGTCGGAAATTAAGAATTTATTTCCTTTTGCGAGATACGTATATAATATTTATTCATTGTTCCGAGATACGTATATTTATTCATTGTTCCGAGATACGTATATTTATTCATTGTTACGAGATACGTATATATTTATTCATTGTTCCAAGATACGTATATTTATTCATTGTTCCGAGATACGTATATATTTATTCATTGTTCCGAGATACATATATATTTATTTATTGTTCCAAAATACGTATATTTATTCATTATTCCACGACGACCACGACACGTATGTTTATTCATCGTTCCAAGAAACGTATATTTATTGATTTTTCCAACATACGTATATTTTCACAAAGTATTCCCCTATAACGTATGATTCATTTCCCTACAAATGTCTGCGTCTCCGTTCAAAAAAAATGCCATCCATTATTTGAGACATAGCACAGTTGTGAATATAACTATGATTTGCAGTGTAATGTCACCGTGCTATAGATCTGTTTTGTCAATCTCAAATGCCGATTGCTACATTGCTACATGTTGATTGTGTCATCGCTACCGGACAACAAACAAAGCAACAAAAAAAATAAACAAATCTTTATGTCATTAATTTTTTCTTTTAAAGTTTGGAAAGGGGGTTGGGGGGGGGGGCTGTCATTGGTTACAACTAGGAGGCTCAACATCAATTGTATTTCGCAAGTTGGTAAAACAAATCCATTGGCTGCACACCGGGAAGGGGAGGGTTAATTGCTCTCTCGTGGCCGCACTCTTGAACGCAGAGCTCGGAGTCTAGCAATTGAAAGGGTGAAATCTATAACCACCACGTTGTGTGGGTGAGGACTAATTGCTGAAACGTGGACGTGGGGGGGGGGGAGGATCTTGGATACAGTTTTTATTGTATAATTTTTTAAAAAAAATTATGGTCTGACGATGAAAGCGGTCTGGGTATTTGGGGGGTGGGGGGTGGGCGATATGAGTTGATGACCTTCTCGATTGCGAAATGCTAATCCAGACAAATTTTTGTATGGATGAGTGGTTGTGTGGGTTGATATAATGTGTACAGTGAGATATCGAATTTAGATGTTCAACTGTTGTTGTTTTCATCTTACCGTATTTACCTTTATTAAAATTAAATATTTGTGATTGTAGCATTGGAACTTAGATCTGTATCAAGTCCAAGCTTGACTAAGAATCATTTCTTTTGGAGGCTACAAATATGCCGGGTTAGGGTCAACAAATATGCCGGGTTAGGGTTAGGGTCTACAAATATGTAGGGTTAGGGTTAACAAATATGTAGGGTTAAGGTTCCACAAGGTTAGGGTCCACAAATATGCTGGGTTAGGGTTAGGGTCCACAAATATGCCGGGTTAGGGTCCACAAATATGCCGGGTTAGGGTTAGGGTCCACAAATATGCCGGGTTAGGGTTAATGTCAACAAATATGCCGGGTTAGGGTTAGGGTCCACAAATATGCAGGGTTAGGGTTAGGGTCCACAAATATGCAGGGTTAGGGTTAATGTCAACAAATATGCAGGGTTAGGGTTAATGTCAACAAATATGCCGGGTTAGGGTTAGGGTCCACAAATATGCCGGGTTAGGGTCAACAAGCATGGCGGGTTAGGGTCAACAAACATGGCGGGTTAGGGTCAACAAACATGGCGGGTTAGGGTCAACAAACATGGCGGGTTAGGGTCAACAAACATGGCGGGTTAGGGTCAACAAACATGCCACTGAGAATATTGTTTTCAATGGGAGGACGCTCCCTGAACATTTAATTCGCCACCTACCGATCACACCATGTCAACATTTGTAACCCCTTAAAAATGCATCTCTCACTACCGGGCCCTAACCTCATTGCACCCTACCATCGTGAATTGTCTAACGTTCGGATAGAGCCCAAACTGAGCTGTTGTTGAATGGCCTCAACTTTTGCATGGAACACGACACTTAGATATTAGGTTAGAACGATCTGATGTTGTATACCTATCTATATGAGGGGGGGGGTCCATTAATTACGTCAACAAAATAGTCGGGAGGGGGGGTTGGACATGTTTGACACTTGTCGACAAAAAGGGTGGGGGGGGGGGGGGGATTGGTTGACGTCAACAATCTTTTTTTCTCTATTTAAATTTTAATCTTAAAAATTGAACATTAATTACGTCAACAAAATAGTCGGGAGGGGGGGTTGGACATGTTTGACACTTGTCGACAAAAGGGTGGGGGGGGGGGTAGATTAGTTGACGTCAACAATCTTGTTTTCTCTATTTAAATTTTAATCTTAAAAATTGACTAGTTCTTACATTATTGTAAACAATTTAATGAGTGTAAATAGTCCTATATAATATATGTTTAGGTTTTTAATATTATATAAGAGTTATTTAATATGTGTCTATCTGTGCACTGCACTGTAGATGGCTGGTCAGAATGTTAGCACACTTTGTTAGTGCAAGAGAAGTCCAAAGTTGGCTTCTCTTCACCTGTCATTTGTCTCTTAAGCCACTCCCTAGAATGTACACTGTACATTGTACACGGCGTTCAATTAAAAAAGCACAAAGAAACTCATCGTTGTTCAATAACCACACTACCAACTCCAAGACAGAGACAGAGAGACAGAGAGACAGAGAGACAGAGAGAGAGAGAGAGAGAGAGCTTGTGGCAACCATTGCTCACACCGACATTGCTTCGATTTTAAGTGCTAAATAGTGACATAAGGAGAATGTTGACTTTATTGACATAAGGAGAATGTTGACTTATCTGGTATATCAGTTCCGCAAGATGAAAATGACATATCAGCAACTACAGACTATGCCCGCATCACGGGCGTCATTTCAGGTTTTTTCAGGGGAAGGGAGCGGGGTGCAAACCTAAATTTGGTCGGCTTGTTAAGTTGTTTATTACTGAAGGCGCCACAGTACATCACAATTTAAATAAAACCAGCAAAATCGAAGAGTGGGGGGGGGGGGGTTACAAATCCCCACATGCCCTACACAAATGATGTCCCTGGTGCCCATTGTTACGATACAGCAACACCTGGCTACTTCATCGGAAAATAAAAGTAGCTAGAAACTATACTATAATTGTCAGCTATACTGAAAATAATCATATTTATACTTACACAAAAAATTATATTTAGTCTTTAACAAACTGTTAACTGATTCTGCCTTATAAAATTTAAGTGTAAAAACTTTGTAACTTGTTAACAAGCTGAGGATGTAATCAAATGTTTTGCCGACATTTTTGTGTTATTAAAATTACATGAGCACAAAGTAAAACTTATATATATTTCAAAATTTATTGATATTATAATTCATTTTTAGGTGGGTGGGGGGGGGTAATACAATAATTAAATAGGCGGGGGGGGGGG